AAAAACACCAAAAACAAAGAGAATCTTGTCACTTTAACCACAAACTCACAACAAAAGTTGGAATAAGATATGAGAAACACAAGTTAGGAGGGGAGGAGGAAAGGGACTGAATTGGTTTAGACTAAGGAAATAAGAGACCATCAGAAAATGGACTATCTTATACATGAGATTCTGAATACAAACCTCAGGGTAACCACTAAGCCAAAAAGCAGAACAGAGATGCAAAAAATAAATGAGGAAAAAACAAAGAAACACATCATGAAAAACTACATAATTCAATCGGTAGACCAAAACACACAGGACGAGGAACAAAGGAAATGCAGGGAAACCAGAAAACGAGTGATATAATGACAGCATTAAGCCCTCATACTTAAATAATCACCCTAACTGTAAATGGATTGAATTCTCCAATAAAAAAAACACAGAGTGGCAAGATGGATTAAAGAACAAGACCCAATAATATGCTCCCTCCAGGAAACATATCTCAGCTCCAATGACAAACATAGGCTCAGAGTGAAGGGATGGAAGACGATACTCCAAGTTAATGGCAAACAAAAGAAAGCAGGCGTCGCAATACTCATATCAGACAAAGTAGACTTCAAGATAAGACAGGTAAAGAGAGACAAAGAGGGGGAGTATATAATGATCAAAGGGACACTCCATCAAGAAGAAACAACACATAAATATCTACGCACCCAACACAGGAGCACCAAAGTACATAAAGCAACTATTAACAAACCTAAAAGAAGATATTAATAATAACACAATAATAGTAGGGGACCTCAACACTCCATTCACATCAATGGACAGATCATCTAGACAGAAAATCAACAAGGAAACAGTGGAATTAAATGAAAAGCTAGGCTAGATGGACTTAATAGACATTTATAGAATATGCCATCCAAAAACAGCAGAATACACATTCTTCTCAAGTACACACGAAGTAGTCTCAAGAATACACCATATGTTCGGAAACAAGGCAAGCCTTAATAAATTAAAGAAGATTGAAATAATAACAAGCATCTTTTCTGATCACAATGCTATAAAGCTAGAAATTAATTACAAGAAAAAAGCGGAGAAACAGACAAAGATGTGGAGACTAAACAACATGCTATTCAACAAGCAATGGATCATTGAAGAAATTAAAGGAGAATCAAAAAATATCTGGAGACAAATTAAAATGAAAACATACCATACCAACTCATATGAGATACAGCAAAAGCAGTATTAAGAGGTAAATTCATTGCAATACAGGCACACCTTAACAAACAAGAAAAGACCCAAATAAGAAATCTCAAACTACATCTAACTGAATTAGAAAAAGAAGAACAAACAAAGCCCAAAGTCAGCAGAAGGAGAGAAATAATAAAACTCAAACAGAAATAAATGCTATTGAAACAAAAAAGGCAGTAGAAATGATCAATGAAACAAAGAGCTGGTTCTTTGAGAAGATAAATAAAATTGACAAACCCCTATCTTAGACTTACAAAGAAAATAAGAGAGAAAGCTCAGATAAATAAAATTAGAAATGAGAGAGGAGAAATAACATTGGATACCACAGAAATATAATGGATTATAAGAGAATACCACAAAAACCTATATGCCAACAAAATGGATAACCTAAAGGAAATGGATAAATTCTTAGACTCTTCAGCCTCCCAAAGCTGAGTCAAGAAGAAACAGACAATCTGAATAGATCAATCACAAGAAAAGAGATTGAAACAGTAATCAAAAAGATCCCAAAGAATAAAACCCAGGGACCAGATGGCTTTCCTGGGGAATTTTACCAACCTTCAGAGGGGATTTAATACCTATCCTTCTCAAGCTATTCCAAAAAATTAGGGAAGATGGAACACTTCCTAACACATTCTATGAGGCCAACATCACTCTGATACCAAAGCCTGACAAGGACAGCACAAAAAAGGAAAACTTCAGGCCAATATTGTTGATGAACATAGACGCAGAAATCCTCAACAAAATTTTGGCAACCAGAATTCAGCAATTCATCAAAAGGATCATACAACATGATCAAGTGAGATTCATACCAGGGACACAGGGATGGTTCAACATCCGCAAATCAATCAACGTGATACACCAAATCAACAAATTGAGGAATAAAAACCACATGATCATCTCAATAGATGCAGAGAAAGCATTTGACAAGATCCAACAGCTATTTATGATAAAAACTCTTAACAAAATGGGGATAGAAGGAAATTACCTCAACATAATAAAGGCCATATATGACAAACCCAAAGCCAACATCACACTCAATGGGGAAAAACTGAATACCATCCCCCTGAGAACAGGAACAAGACAAGGATGCCCACTATCACTACTCTGATTCAACAGAGTGTTGGAGGTTTTGGCCAGAGCAATTAGGGAAGAGAAAGGAATAAAAGGAATCCAAATAGGGAGTGAAGAAGTGAAACTCTCGCTGTTTGCAGACAACATGATCTTATATATAGAAAACACCAAAAACTCCATCGGAAAACTAATGGAAGTAATTGACAACTACAGTAAAGTTGCAGGGTACCGAATCAACTTAAAAAAATCAGTTTCTTTTCTATACTCCAATAAGGAATTTACAGAAAGAGAACTCAAGAATACAATTCCATTTGCAATCGCAACTAAAAGAATAAAGTACCTAGGAATAAATTTAATAAGGAGGCAAAGGACTTATACAATGAAAACTATAAGACATTATTGAAAAAAATAGACAACGACATAAAGAGATGGAAAGAGATTCTACACACATGGATTGGAAGAATAAACATAGTTAAAATATTCGTACTACCCAAAGCAATCTACAGACTCAATGCAATCCCAATCAGAATCCCAATGACATTCTTCATGGAAATAGAGCAAAGAATCCTAAAATTCATATGGGCAACTAAAGACCCCAAATTGCTAAAGCAATACTGAGAAAAAAGAACAAAGCTGGAGGCATCACAATCCCTGACTTCAAAATGTACTACAAAGCCATAGTGATCAAAACAGCATGGTACTGGTACAAAAACAGGCCCACAGGGGGCTGGCCCCATGGCCGAGTGGTTAAGTTCGCGCGCTCCGCTGCAGGCGACCCAGTGTTTCGTTGGTTTGAATCCTGGGCGCGGACATGGCACTGCTCATCAGGCCACGCTGAGGCAGCGTCCCACATGCCACAACGAGAAGGACCCACAACGAAGAATATACAACTATGTACTGGGGGGCTTTGGGGAGAAAAAGGAAAAAAATAAAATCTTTAAAAACAAACAAACAAACAAAAAAAACAGGCCCACAGATCAATGGAACAGAACTGAAACCCCAGAAATAAAACCGCACATATACAGACAGCTAATCTTCGACAAAGGTGCCAAGAACGTACAATGGAGAAAAGACAGTCTCTTGAATAAATAGTGTTAGGAAAACTGGACAGCCACATGCAAAAGAATGAAAGTAGACTATTATCTCACACCATACACAAAAGTAAACTCAAAATGAGATCAAAGACTTGAAGATAAGACCTGAAACCATAAAACTCCTGGAAGATAATATAGGTAGTACACTCTTTGACATCGAACTTAAAAGGATCTTTTCAAATAGCATGCCTTCTCAGACAAGGGAAACAAAAGAAAAAATAAACAAGTGGGAGTTCATCAGACTAAAGAGCTTCTGCAAGGCCAAAGAAACTAGGGTCAAAACAAAAAGACAACCCACCAATTTGGAGACCATCTTTGCAAATCATCTATCCAATAAAGGGTTAATCTCCATAATATATAAAGAACACACACAACTGAACAACAAAAAAACAAACAGCCCGATCAAAAAATGGGCAGAGGTTATGAACAGACATTTTTCCAAAGAAGATATACAGATGGCCAATAAACACATGAAAAGATGTTTAACATAACTAATCATCAGGGAAATGCAAATCAAAACTACACTAAGATATCACCTTATGCCTGTTAAAATGGCTATAATCACTAAGACTGAAAATAACAAATGTTTGAGAGGGTGTGGAGAGAAGGGAACCCTCATAGATTGCTGGTTGAAATGCAAACTGGTGCAGCCACTGTGGAAAACAGTATGGAGATTCCTCAAAAAACTAAAAAATAGAACTCCCACTATCGCACTACTGGGTACCTACCCAAACAACTTGAAATAAACAATCCGAAGTAACATATGCACCTCTATGTTCATTGCTGCACTATTCACATTAGCCAAGACATGGAAACAATCCAAGTGTCCATCGACTGATGATTGGATAAAGAAGATGTGGTATATATATATACAATGGAATACTACTCAGCTGGAAAAAAGACAAATTCATTCCATTTCCAACAACATGAAAGGACCTGGAGCGAATTATACTAAGTGAAATAAGCCAGACCGAGAAAGACAAACACCAGATGATTTCACTCATATGTGGAATATAAACAAGCACATGGACAAAGAAAGCAGTTCAGTGGTTACCAGGGGAAGGGGGGTGGGGGAGGGCACAGAGGGTGACGGAGAGCACCTGTGTGGTGACAGACGAGAAATAATGTACAACGGAAATTTCACAATGATGTAAACTATTATGAACTCAAATAAAAATTTCACAAGTAGAAACTGAAATGAATATCTACAGTCATTACCTAGATTAAGCACTGAAGATTTGCTATATTTGCTCTTTATAACTTTTTACAGAAAATATTTTAGATACTTCGGTATTGCATCTCTAAAAATTAAGGACATTTTCTACAGAACCACAATGCATACTATTATCGCACTTAATAAAAAACAGTAATTCCTTAATATCACTAATAAATAGTTCAATTTTAATAAGGAGAAATTGCCCTATTTGTTCTCCAAATGTCTTTGCAGCTGATTTGTTTATACCAAATCCAATCAAGAACCACGCACTGCACCTGGCTGTTGCGTCAGCAGACTCGAATTCTAATCCAAAGCCCGGAGGCGCTTAGAAAACCTGAGCGCCAGGTAACAGGAACCTGTAAATAAGAAACTGACATTCTCCAAAGGGGAGGGAGCAAGGACTTACGGGAAATGTAGTTTTTATTTTGGTATTGAACTTCGGGGCTCCTTTTGCGCTTGCGTACTTCAGCTCCGTAGGTGCAAGTTGTCTTTCCCCAGGCTACAGCCTCGCTTGGGAGGAGGCTCTGGGGCGGTGGAGTCTCTGCGATCATCCGGGGCCAGTGCAGCCCAACAAGGGAGCGGTGGGTGAGCCCCGGAGTCTTGGACGAGGGCCACTGGGGCCCGCTCGGCTCGGGAGCACGCGGGGGCGGCGGTGGGGAGGATCCCCGCGGAGCTCTCGTCAGGACCCCCCAGCACGTGAGCTCCAGAGGGCGGGTGGAGGCGGCCCGACTGGGGGCCGCGGGCCCTGGGGAGGCTGCAGAGAACGCGCGTGTACCTGCGGCGGCGGGAGAGGGGCGCGGGCTGCTTCGCAGCGCAGCGGGATCCAAGTCCCAGCGCTGTCAGTTAACTGCGAGAGATTCAGTATCGTCTTCTGTAAAAGGAGAATATTTATAATACCTGACCCGTGCGCTTCTGCGCTGTAAATTTAATTTGTATGCTACATATATACTTCGATTTTTTTCTCATCAGACACCTTTAATTCTCACAACTGTCTTTGAGGTAGGTTTGACAGTCTCTTTGTTAAGAGAGAGGAAAACTGAGGCTCAGAGAGGTGAAGTAATTTACCCAAGATCACACAGAGAGCAGCTTTTCGATTTTTCTGCAGATCTCATGGTCTTTCTTAGAAGTCGCTTTGCCTGAAACCCAGCGTCTTTATTCATAGCACTGAGCACCGTTGTGTTTTTATAGGACTCAAAGAAGTAATTGTGAAATATGTGTGGACTGAATCCTTACTTGGCCCTTGTATTTTGGAGATCCTTGATTCGTCTGAGCCCTTGAGTCAGGCAGCACACTTGAGGTTTCTGGACGGGACCTGCCCTTTCCAGCCTTTGTCTTTGGAGGCCTTCATTTGAGTTTATAGATGGCCCAGCCCTTGGTTCTTGGAGAAGGTATGTTCCATGAGGGTCGGATTGGGAGCCCTGTTTGAAAGTTACAACTCAGTTTAATTTTCCCTCTCTGCCCAGGTCACCGCTTCCTTAGAACAGCAGCTCTTGAGGTAAGAAGGGATAATCCTCAGGAAACCCATCTGGAAGATCACCCCTCCATCTCAGACCTCTCACCAGGGCCTCAGAACAGAGGCAGAAGAGGCCCAGGAAAGACTATGCCAGAACTGCCTGGACAGAAGTAATCCTTGGTCCTCCTACCCAGAATGGGCAACACTGGGTGATGTCACCACATCCAGAATTCCGGACTGTCTAGCGATCAGCTTCAGAACTGAGGTGAGGCTGGCAGCACCGCCGAGGGCCCCTCACAGGAGGCTTTGTGAGGACACAGTCCAAGAAAAGGAGTCACCACCCGCAGAAGGGGACATTGCCCCTTTGCCTGCCCTCATCAACCCCAGTCCCTTCGCTCTGCACTTATTCTCCGCACAACCTAGAGAGATGCTCCATTACGCCTGCTGTTCTGATGGTAAAGAATCAAAGAAATAATGTGTAGAGTTTCAAGATTTTTCTTTTTGCCTTTGAGAGGTGAAGAAAAAATGGGCCTAAAGATAAGTGACTTGTTTAGAGTCATATGATTTATTAGTGGCATGGACAGAGAACTCATTCCTGTCACTCTTAACAATTAAGTCACATCAAGTTTTTTATTAAAAGATCCTTTTGGTACAACTAGAATATACAACTATGTACTGGGGGGCTTTGGGAAGAAAAAGAAGAAGGGGAAAAAAAAGAGAAGATTGGCAACAGATGTTAGCGCAGGTGCCAATCTTAAAAAAAACAAAGAAAAGAAAAAGATCCTTTTGAGAAACTAACGAAGTTAGAATAAGTGAAATTCCCCATCCTTTTCCAGGGGATGTTGATAAGGATTTTCTAAGTCAAGGGGCAAACACTGTCACTAGGAATGCAGAGAAACAATACAGCCTGGGCTTGCTTGCTTGTGTGCTTGCTTGATTTTATTTACTTCTATTTTTGCAGTTTAGTTCTAATGAAGGCATAGTCTTCTCTGTATTGTACTTTGTTTAATGAATCCTCTGTTTTTAATTTTTCTTTTAGTCAGTGGGTGGGGAAGATAAATTCTTTATAAATTAGTAGGAAATGTTTACATTCATCCAAAGAAAAATTGCCTTCTAAGCTCTCTGACCTGTCAGAGTCAGCATGGACACCTGGGTGCTCCTCCACAGGGTCTGTCCTGCCCTTCCTTGGGTTAAAGGGACATTGTCCCTCACAGGCCTTATAGGCAGCTGCTGTGTGAAGCTTGATTGGCAGATGAGTCTGAGAGCTGTGCAGCAGGCCCAGAATCACAGGACCTCATGGTCTTCCTTCTTCTCCAGCTGTACCTTTACAGTTCTCTTCAGTTTTCCAAGAGCAACAGGAAATGAACAAGTCACCGGTGAGTTATGTATTCCCACTTTGTTTTACAGTGGACTTTGTGTAATTTGTAAGGGAACAGAAATTTAAATGGAAAAGTAGAAATGAAAATCAGTGTCACAGAAACCGTAGAGTGGCAGGTCAGTAGCTAAGCAAAGTCATCATATGGATACATGCAGGTCCTATAACGTCCTGGAGTTACCAAAGTCAAGCTACAAGTTTGCCTCTGGTCTTCCTGACAGCAAAGAAGAAACCAGAGAGAAGTGTTATAGCACTGCTATAACAAATTATCGTAGACAGGTGGCTTAAGCAACAAACACATTTCTCATAGTTTTGGAGTCTGGGAAGTCCAAGGTTAAGCTGCCAGCAGATTTGGTTCTGATGAGGGCCCACTTCCGGTTTGCAGATGGTGACCTTGTAGCCTCATGTGGTGGAGAGAGAGTCGGGGCAAGCTCTCTCATGTCTTTTCTTCTAAGGGCACTAATCTCATCACGAGGGCTCCACACTCATGACCCAATCGCCTCCCAAAGGCCCCATCTCCAAATACCATCACATTGGAGATTAGGGCTTCAGCATCTGAATTTTGGGGGGACACAAACACAAACATTCAGTCTATAACAGAGTTTGAGTAGACAGTTTTCCAATGGTCTTACTTGGTCCAGGAGCAAGACCTGGAATATCTGGAAGAAGCCTGAATGGTCTGCATGCCCTTAAAGTGGCTCCGTATAAATATTTCCTCCTCTCGACTGTGGCGCTGTACATAGACTGTTCCTTGCCCATGCTTGGTGTTGTCAGACTTTAGACTTGCTGCCAATCTAACTTCTGAGAAGAACTCATCATTTTAATTTGCATTTCTGAGATTACTCATGAGCTTGTACATCATATGTTTATTGTTTTTTCATGGCTTTTGTGAATGACTTCATTTTTTAATCATATTTTTCTATATGTATTAATTTTTAGGAATAGTTTATATGTTTTGAACAGTAATTCTTCATCTGTTATATTTGTTGTGAAGGTTTTCCCCAAGTCTGTCTGTTGACCTATGCCTGCATCATGCCTTTGGCCTCATGAAAGTTTTATGTTTTTCTGTAGACTGATCTTTTGATCTTTTCCATTTGATTTTTTTCTTTTGATTTTTATTTAAAATTTTTTCCATAACCCAATATAATGATATTTTTCCTTATTTTTGTTTAATTAATATTAATACTATTTAATAAAATATTTAAGCCTTGAATCAGTCTGGAACTCTTTTTTATAGGTAGTATGAGGAGGGAATGTAGGTTTACCTTTTAACACATAAACCCAGTTGCACTGACTAATTCTTAATGTTTTTCCCCAGTGAATTATAATGCCATCGCTGTCATCCAGTGTGTCACCGTGTCTGTGCACACCTCTTTCTCATCATTCTAATTCCGTTAGTCCTTAGTTCATTCTTCGGTTCATCTTGTTCTTTCTTACCCTTTTTCTGGTCTTACTGTGTGATGGCTGGCATGCTTGCTAATCGTGAGAGCAAATCCTCCTGGCACCTGATTTTCAGAGAACTCGGGAAGCATTAGCAAACACTGAGACGCTCTGCAGGCTCTTGGTGTACACCCATTATCCCATTAGCTCAGTTCCTTCTACACCTTAAGTTTTGAGTGTCCGTAATACCCAATGTTTTTTCTATATGCCTTAAGGATAGGTTTTGATTACTAATTTTCTTAGATGGTTTATAGTTTTCTAAACTTCTTGGTTCAATTTTAGCTATATTTGTTTTTAAAGTTGTACATTTCTTTTAAGTTTTCAAATTTATTTGCAGCAGTATGTTTGAAAGAATTATGATTTTTAAAACCTTTTTTTGTCATTAGTGCCATCGAGTTGATTCTGACTCCTAGAGCCCCTGTGAACAGCAGAGCTGAACCCCCCCCAGTCTTTTTGCACCATCCTCTCCCCTTCTGATACCTTAGCAGACGATCGTCTGCTGCTATTCATAGGGTTTTCATGGCCAATTTTTTCAGAATTGTGTGGCCAGTCCTTCTTCCTAGTCTGTCTTAGTCTGGAAGCTCCACTGGAAACTGTCCACCATGGGTGACCCTGCTGGTATTTGAAATACCGGTGGCATAGCTTTTAGCATCACAGCAACATGCAGCTGCCACATGTAACAACTGAGAGACAGATGACGTGGTTCAGTGACGGGAAAAAGAACCCTGGGCCACCATGGTGAGAGCACCGGACCTTAAGCACTAGACCACCAGGGATGACTCTTAATGTTAGTTAACATTAATTTTTTATTCCAATTTTTATCAGTTATTAAATTACACTTTATTATTGAAGCTGCTGGTTAGAAATGGAAAAACCATGTCTGGCTAGTCAGATATCTGAAAGCCTAAAATTTCAGCATGTGGGTATAAGATTTAGATGGAGATAGCATTCTTGAAATACTCTATGAGGAGAGGACGCATACATTTGCCATAGTGATGCCTGCCATTACTGCATACCAAGCTATCAGGGTTTTATTTTTCTCTTTATCTTTTTTTTCCTGAGTGTGTGTATGGATTGGGCAATGTATTCATATTGGAAAAATCAATACAATATGAACAATATAAATAGATAGACCATGTGAATTCTTACTCCCATGCCTGTCCCTGTCATTGCAACCTCCCTTTCTAATTATAGGGAACAAATTTTTGTGTGTATTTTTCCATTTTTTTAATTACAGGACAAGTAAATATGATTTTATATCTGTCTATCTAGATAAATATATATACACATAAATATATGTTTGTACCCTTTTCTTAGTATATTTGTATGTATATAACTGTGAATATACATACAGGTATATACATGTATGTGTATCTATGTATGTTTTTATTTTGAGAAACAAGAGCCAAGTTTTTTATTTGTTTATTTCTTGCATTTGAGTTACTCTTTGATGACATCCTTGCCCTGAGACTCTTGGCCATAATCCTTAACTGCCACATATCTGCAACCAACCACTTTCTAGAGTTTTCCCTCTCTGTCAGTCTTACAGAAGCCTACCCATTCCCCTAGTTTCTTGTAATCAATATTAATTAGGGTGATTTGGTGTTCAGCACAAGGGCCTCTACCAACTTGATGTGTATATATTTATTTCTACTCCCTTCTTTTTTTTTTTTTTTTTTTGAGGAAGACTAGCCCTGAGCTAGCATCTGCTAATCCTCCTCTTTTTGCTGAGGAAAACTGGCCCTGAGCTAACATCCATGCCCATCTTCCTCTATTTTATATGTGGGGCACCTACCACAGCAAGGCTTGCCAAGTGGTGCCATGTCTGCACCCTGGATTCGAACTGGTGAACCCCGGGCCACCAAAGCGGAATGTGTGCACTTAACTGCTACACCACCGGGCCAGCTCCTCTACTCCCTTCTTACCCAAAAGGATACAAGTATATAATACCCTGTTCTTTACCTTGATTTTTACATGTAAGAATATATATTGGAGGGTCAACCTGGTGGCGTAGTGGTTAATTTCATGCATTCTGCTTCAAAGGCTTGGGGTTCGTGAGTTTGAATGCCAGGTGTAGACTTAGACCCAGCTCATCAAGCAATGCTGTGGTGGTGTCCCACATATAAAATAGAGGATAATTGGCACAGATGTTAGCTCAGGGCCAGTCTTCCTCACCAAAAAAAAAAAAAAAAAGGACTGTATATTAGAGATCTTTCCAAACTAGTACATAGGAAAATTTACATGGTTTTATTTAAAAAAATTTTTATTGAGATAGAATTCACATACTATAAAATTTATCTTGTTAAAGCACATTAAGTGGTTTTTAGTATATTCACATAGTTGTGCAACTGTCACTGCTATCTAATTTCAAAAAGTTTTCATCACCCCAAAAAGAAGTACCATACCCATTAGCAGTTACTCCCCTATTTCCCCTTAACCCCCCAGCCCTAAGCATCCATTAATTGGCTTTTTGTCTGTATAGAGTTACCTATTCTGAATATTTCATTTAAGTGGAATCATTGAGTCTGGTCTTTTGTGTCTGGCGTCTTTCACACTTAGCGTAATGTTTTCTAGGTTCATATTACTGTAGTGTGTATCAGTACTTCATTCCTTTTATGGCTCTATTGTGTTTCATTGTGCAGATATATCAAATTTAGTTTCCCTCTTATTAGTCAGTGGACATTTGGGTTGGATGTTTCCCCCCTTCGATTATTTTGAATAAAGCTGCTGTACATTCATATACAAGTTTTTGCATGAACATACGGTTTCAGTTGTGTGGGTGTGTACTTAGGAGTGGGAGTGGAATTGCTGGGTCGTTAGCTTTTTGAGGAGCTACCAAACTGTTCACTAGAGAGGCTGTGCAGTTTTGCATTCTAACCAAAAATGTGTGAGGCTTCAAATTTCTCTACATCTTTGCCAGCACAATTGTCTGTCTTTTTGCTTATAGCCATTCTAGTGGATGTGAAATGGGATCTCATTGTGGTTTTGTTCTGATTTTCCTGAATGGCTAATGCTGTTGAATATCTTTACGTGTGCCTGTTGGCCATTAGTATATCTTTTTTTTGAGAAATGTCTATTCAGATCTTTTGCCCATTTTTCGTTTGAGTTGTCTTTTTACTGTTGAGTTGTAAGAGTTCTTTAAATATTCTGGATATAGACCCATTTCAGATACATAATTCATAAATACTTTATCCCATTCTGTGGGTTGTATTTTCACTTTCTTGGTAATGTCCTTTGAGACACAAAAATTGTAATTTTGTTGATGTCAAATTTATCTTTTTTTAGTTGCCCATTCTTTGGGTGTCATATCTCTGAAATCATTGCCTAATCCAAAATCTTGAAGATTTAATCCTATGTGTTCTTCGAAGGCGATCTTTGATTATTTTGAGTTAATTTTTATGTATGGTATGAACTGGGGACCCAACTTTATTCTTTTGCATGTGGATATCTAGTTGTTCCAGCACCAAATGTTGAAAAGACTATTTTCCTCTGTTGTATTGTCTTGCCACTCTTGTCAAAAATCAATTGACCAGGGGCTGGCCCCGTGGCCGAGTGGTTAAGTTCGCGCACTCCGCTGCAGGCGGCCCAGTGTTTCGTTAGTTCGAATCCTGGGCGCGGACATGGCACTGCTCATCAGACCACGCTGAGGCAGCGTCCCACATGCCACAACTAGAAGAACCCACAGCGAAGAATACACAACTATGTACCGGGGGGCTTTGGGGAGAAAAAGGAAAAAATAAAATCTT